GTTTTGCGAAGAATCGGTTCCCAAAGCAGGGAACCAATCATCGCAAAGCGGAAAAAACCCATTCAGACCATCGTTTTGCAACCGCAATTGTGATCACAAAAAGATCATCGTAATGCGAGGCAATTGTAAAGCAAGGCACCACTGTACTCCATCCCTTCATAAGTATGGAGAGTCCAAGTAAGGCAGACAACCAGAAAATTTGCAACAAAAGATACTTAAGATTTAATGACTGTGACAGCTGTGGAATCTAGACTGTCTTATTTGATTTAGTGACCTGTTGTGTTAATTTAGGTCTCTTTTCAAGGCACCAATCAATGTTTTTGTTTGGTTGGATAAGAGGCAAATAATGCTTTACATCAAAACCATTAAGAATGGGATTTTGGGGTTAACTTGAACGAAAAATTCCAAAAGAGAGGCTCTTTCTTTTCGTTTTGAGGTATTTTGTGGCTTCCCAATTGAGAGAATTTGAAATGCATAAGATTCGGGATTCTGGAAGAGAAGATGTTGAAACTTGCATATCTCATCTATTGGGTTAGCTTCAGTTAACCCAATAGATGAGATATGCAACCCAAAAGCGTCAGTGTTTTCAGATTTACTGAGAAGCCTGGTTCCAAGTAAGATCCCTGAAACAAGAGAGAAATCCCTTGGATGACCCCAAAATGAAAGCAAACCAAAAGTCTCCCCCACCCCACGTCCATAATGACCATGTCAGACATCAAGAGCATCCAAAGGCATCAAGTGGAAATGCACATTTGTGGATATACATAGCTTTTGGAAACACAAAAGCACACGAGGAACACTGGTCTAAGAGCCTGGATCATTCCCCAGATTTGCTGTGATCTATGGCCCTACTTGTGTGTTATAAAAGAAGGTGAAATAAAGATGAGATGATTACTCAGGTTTGTCCCAAATCATTTCAGGAGAATAGTGGCTCTGACTGATACAAGAGGCTCTTTTCTTTATAAAATTGTTCTTGTAGAGAATGATGGAAGTAACTTTGAAGGGGCTGGGGCTATAGCACTCCCTCTCTTAAAATGTTCATTTTACCTTTTCTTAACACCAGAACAAGGCTAAATCCCAGTGTCAAACTTGCTACTCCAGTACAATTGAGCACCCTCATGCCAAAATTCTCCTTTTGATATTTTTCTGTGGGAGTGTGGCAACTCTGACGTCTACTAGATAATACCGTGGGATGACTGCTGGCAGACAGTGGCGCAAATCATGTGCCATGAATAAGCCCCTGATGCTACAGCTGCCGTCTGTTTCTACAACAGGACAGGGAAAAGCAAACAACAGCATGTCTAGTTTAGCAACTGTCCCTCTTTAGCTAGTAATGCATATTACTAATCTTGCTATGCTCATTCACCACAACTGTGGCTAGATGGGGGATGGATCACACCGAAAATTGACTTTATTTTGTGCATATAATTAGATTCAATATATACAGTATGATATGACCATATTCATCATGTGTAAATAAGAGTAAATAAGCTAATAAGATAACAACAATTTAATCTATTGTATGGATACTATATCATGCTACTTAGATGCCTGCCAATCTCTCTTCCTCTCCATAGCATTTTGGACATAGTTTGTAGAAAACACAAGTATTTTCTTCTCTTAAAATGATCAGTTTGTGCATTTAACTTAATACATTACATAAAATGACATCAGGTGCCTTATTATTCTGCAGTGGGTTGAAAAGACTTCTAGCCTAGACAGACACTGATCAGGAATCCTACAGATTGGGTTCCCCCTTGTTTCCAGGGTCTCTTCTTCTCTGAAGGAGCCCCTGCAGAGCATTCTGATGCTGAAGTGGACAGTGACGGTAGCGCGCAGGGTCAGACTAGCTTAGCAGAAGACTCTAGGACAGGTTCCAGGCATAGGACTCTCAGAGTCCTAAATACAATGGGTAACTGTAGTGCCCCACATGCTGCCAAAATGCAGCTCCCTGCATTCTTCACCACTGGCTATGCTGGCTAAGGTTGATGAGAGTTGGAGTCCAACAACATCTACAGGGCGTTGCTGTGCCTCAAAGCCACATATGTGCAATATTGCTTGCTACTTACTGGGCCAGCTCCTGAAGGGTTGTTAATAGTTCATGAGTAGTCTGATGATCCTGGGCCCCCAGTGAAGCCATTAGACAGTGAGCATCATTGAAAATGAGGATGTGATCTCTGGAATGCTTCTTTGATAGTTTGCTTACTTCTTTCCATCTGTTGCCTACATTCACACCTAGGAATGAATATACACAGATAAAAATACCTAAGATGCACGTTAAAAAGAAAGATACAGACATTGGAAAATGCAATCCCCTATACAGTTAGACAGAGCTGGTTCAATCAGCATGGTGGAATTTCTTTCAAAGCTGAACGGCATTTATCTGTGTACATATTAAATAAATCATACTTTTTAATGGAATATATTATCTGCATTCACATAAAAAGATCTTGTGGTTATGTGGAATCACACTGTGATTGTCCTCACACTGGAGGCTACCTCTCAGCCAGGCTAGTAGCCATGGTAGCTAATCTATGCAATCAAGAACAGTCAAAGAGGCAACCAAGAAAACTGTGGGACTGCTATGTAAGGTGCTGGTTAGCTTTCTTCATTTATCCCTTCTCATGTATAACACGCATATAATACAGTGAGAGACTGAGAAAGAAACAGAGGCTAGAGGGCCAAGAGAATATGAGTTTTACCTAGTTCTCATCGGAAAGCAGAGCTAACCTTCCACAGAAGAGTGTTAAAACTCCCCTCCCTTCTCTCTGGGTGTCACCTCAACCCCCAGTGAAGCCATTAGACAGTGAGCATCATTGAAAATGAGGATGTGATCTCTGGAATGCTTCTTTGATAGTTTGCTTACTTCTTTCCATCTGTTGCCTACATTCACACCTAGGAATGAATATACACAGATAAAAATACCTAAGATGCACGTTAAAAAGAAAGATACAGACATTGGAAAATGCAATCCCCTATACAGTTAGACAGAGCTGGTTCAATCAGCATGGTGGAATTTCTTTCAAAGCTGAACGGCATTTATCTGTGTACATATTAAATAAATAATACTTTTTAATAGAATATATTATCTGCATTCACATAAAAAGATCTTGTGGTTATGTGGAATCACACTGTGATTGTCCTCACACTGGAGGCTACCTCTCAGCCAGGCTAGTAGCCATGGTAGCTAATCTATGCAATCAAGAACAGTCAAAGAGGCAACCAAGAAAACTGTGGGACTGCTATGTAAGGTGCTGGTTAGCTTTCTTCATTTATCCCTTCTCATGTATAACACGTATATAATACAGTGAGAGACCGAGAAAGAAACAGAGGCTGGAGGGCCAAGAGAATATGAGTTTTACCTAGTTCTCATCGGAAACAGATTTTTTTTCTCTCATGGCAAGGGAAGCCTAATGCAAGTAATTTGTTTACAAAGATGATTGTTTGAATTCCGAAGTGCTGAGGTTGGCTACCATCATGGCATATCTCCACCTATATCTCTTGCTGTGTGGATTACTTGTTCTCTGTTAAGGCCAAGCAGCCTCTGATATTACTCATCCAGGAAAACTGTTGTCTACCTCTTCCACATTTACCTTCACTCTTCCCTTCAACGATGTATACTGTAACATATCTGTGACGGCGAATTATGTGTCCAATATATGACAATCTGTATTTCTTAACAATCATTCTTTCTTTTCGTTTCTCTCTCAGACAAAGTACTTCTTCATTGCTCATTCAATCTGTCCATGGGATCTGAAGGATTGTTTTGCACATTTACATTACAAAGGCATTTATTCCATTGAGCATCTAGTCCAAACCTCAAATCCATAGAGGAAGATTGACTGCATTTTAAAGCCCTCAGTCTCAAAGACACATTAAGCTGTTTGTTGCACAACATTGGTTACCTCCTCCACCCCGTTCTGACTGGCGAGTAGAAAAGGAATTCCTTCTCAGCAACAACTGAGAAAGGCACACACAAGACTGAAGTTCCTTCTGCCATACACTTTTGTACAGGGAGCTGTGGATCAATGCTCAGCAGTAACTAGTCCAATCCTTTTCAAGCTGTACCTTTAGCAGAACAGAATTTTTTTTCTCATGGCAAGGGAAGCCTAATGCAAGTAATTTGTTTACAAAGATGATTGTTTGATGCTTGTGTAGCCACATACACAATGAAGGAAAAGCTGTTCGTTACCTTCTAACTGAAGCCGATACAGCATGGAGCAATTGTCAACAACATCTAGCATGGTCCCGCTCATTTGGCATCTGGGTGCAATCTGTAACACACACAGAGCTCAGAATTTAAGAAGAGACTCATTTCTGAGAGAAAGAGTCCACTTTTTTTAAAAGAACAATATCTCCCTTATACTATGCTTTGTAAAAGAACTACCTCAACCTTTGCATATTATTAGTGTGCGTACAGAGTAATCACTCTTCATAGGAACTGAAACCTAAAAGCACTATTGCAATAAGGACAGTCTGGGCCACCTTATTTCCTTTCCTTTCTTTTTCCAACTTGAAAAGGGGACTTTTGTTCTTTGCAAAAAAAAAGGGGGGGAGGAGATTAGAAAGTAGGCTTGAAAAGACAGAAACCAAGGTAGCATGTAATTATGGTGGAATTTCATCCTGTGGGCCAAGCTTGTTGCTCTTAAACTGCATATACAAATAATAAAATGATAATACAAATTAAAAAATTAAGAATAAAAGATTAAAATAGCTCTTCAAATGTTTTAATATCAAGATAAATACAGGGAGAAGGAAATGCAACACTCCACTGAGAGCACAACCCACTGTCTGTTGGTGTACTGGCTTCCAGAATGCTGGCCAGGGACAATCACTGGCCCGCTGAACAATGAAAGGCTCCTGCAAGTGCAAAGCAACTCTCTATGCATAAACAGCTGCCTACTGTGCTTCTGCACCCCTTTGGACAGTCTCTGCTGGTCAGAAATTATACCATTACTCCTCACCAGAACCGACTAGATAATTCCAGCATCCCTAGTATGTGGTAGTAAATTTGAAAGTGCGGGTACTCATTATGACAACCCCTACAGCCAGCCCCTTTATAAAGAGGGTCCAAAAATTCAGACAGCCAAATTGGCAAGTGAGGAGGAGGTCTTCTGCAAAATGAACAGCTTCTACTTGCCAATTCATGACCAAACCACCCTCAGAATATATTGCATTATGAATATATTGATCCTTACAAAGTCTCTTTGTGTGAAGACCGCAACTAAGCTCAGAAGGAACAAGGGACCCTGGAGAAGGGGTGATGGATGATATTGGAGTTCTTGTTACTAAAACAAATTGCAGACTCTCAACCTGCAAGCCCTTATACCACAACATCACCGAGTACTTCCAGCAGAGGGAGACTAAATTTGCACATGTTATTACACTTCTAATCAGGATACATGTTAAGGTCAGTAACACCTAAGAGGAGCACATCCCTCTAAATGCTGGTGATTTTCCTTCTCATATATTTCTTATTACACTTCTAATCAGGATACATGTTAAGTAACACTTAGAAGGAGCACATCCCCCTAAATGCTGGTGATTTTCCTTCTCATGTATTTCTAGAAGAAAGCTTTTAAAAATGACAATAAAGAAAATGGGATATGTACCTCAGCTATCAGAATCTACCGTGGATTCTACTCAGAACTTGAAGAAGATGACCCTCATCTCAATAAATTGGAATCACCCTTTTGCATTCACAATAAGAATGCTAAAGTAGAACTACGTTTGTTCTAAGTTAAGCCTATTTTTAAAAATCTGCACAAATTTAGTCCATATTTGTCAAAAGAAAGTGGATTATCAAGTTCATATAAATTATGTTGTATATGGCAAATAACTCATCAGATCGTAACACTACATAAACTTGTGGGGAGTAAGTCTCTCTGATTTCTATCAGACATCCAGATGAATGAATAGGAAGCATACTGGGAGCAACAAAAGAGTAGCATAAACTTTAGCTGAGGAGCAGAGCACACATTTTTCATGAAACAGTCCTTAGCATCCTTTCCCAGCGTTCTTCAGGTAGCTAGAGGAGACTTCCATCTGAAATGCTGAGGAGCTGTTGCTCTTAATGGACAATACAAAGCAAAGGGGACCGATGGTCTATCTCATTCTGAGGCAACACCCTATGTTCTTAAGGCAAGGTGCTGTGTAGTCTACCAAAACACACTGCTGTCTAAACTACATTTCAAATTCTCTCACACAGGCTATTACACATAGCTGATTTGTTCCTGTTAAATCCACTTTATGTGGTACCTCAGTGCTTCTTAGTATATCTGTAATGCCATCACTTTTGTACTAGTAGCTACCCCGAAAACTATATCTGGAGAGACAACAGAAAGTGCTACAGATCAATAAAAATGGATGTGCAAAAGAGTTCAGAAGTCAGACTCTCAGAGACCCCCAGTGCTCTACCCACACCTGATACACAGCATTTGTGTAGTTTACCTAAGGGATACAATCCAGTGCATACTGTGCGAATTTAGTTTTTTTTTAAACCAGGGATAGAAAATCACCCTACATACAACCCTTGGGAAGACACAGAAATTTGGTCTCCTTTACCAACAAAGAAGCAGCTCATACTTACGTGAGTGTCATAAACTGTCAAAGCAGCCTCATAATCACCCTACAAAAGCACAACAAATGTATTTTACTTGCAGATTTCAGAAGAATAAATCCCTTATAACGGTTTTTCTGACCCGATGCCTTATGTTGTGTTTCATGCAATTACTGTTCACTGGAAATCAGATACTGCTACCTTGTACAAACAGTCCAAATTCTGACAGCACATTTCTGGCAAATCAAAAAATGTTTTTTTGCTGGAAGTGCAGAAGTAAGAGGTGATATAATTCAAATTTGGGAGGGCAGGGCTGTATACTGGCTGGAATGGTTATTTATCATCCAGAACAATCCTCAGGAAACCGATGGCTGATGGTTTCCAGAATGCAACCCAAGCACTGAACCTATTTTCAGCGTGCTCAGCACCATTCACCCAAACCAGCAGTCAAATCAACAGTGCCTTTATATCTTTGCTGGAAAGTTTGGGTGTGTATCATACAATGCCAGATGTACCAGTAAATAATTAAACAACTACAGCTATGATCCTTTCAACGGGCCCTTTAGTACTGTTGAGCATTACTCTGGAATCAAGTGGATCAGGATTAGAGCTACAGTTCTACATAGCATTTATAAAGCAGTATAATCCCAATTACAATTTCTTCAGTTTATCTTTGTGGCAAAAGTTTCTAAAGGAGCCTAAATTTATCACCTCCTTGATATTCTTCTTCTTGTTGTTGTTTAGTCATTAAGTCATGTCCGACTCTTCGTGACCCCATGGACCAGAGCACGCCAGGCCCTCCTGTCTTCCACTGCCTCCCAGAGTTTGGTCAAATTCATGTTGGTTGTTTCGATAACACTGTCAAACTATCTTATTCTCTGTCATCTCCTTCTCCTCTTGCCGATGACACTGTCCAACCATCTCATCCTCTGTCATCCCCTTCTCCTCTTGCCTTCACACTTTCTCAACATCAAAGTCTTTTCCAGGGAGTCTGCTCATGAGATGGCCAAAGTATTGGTGCCTCAGCTTCAAGATCTTTCCTTCCAGTGAGCACTCATATTCTTCTACCAGAACACAAAAGCCTTCCTAAATCAGATGGGCCTTTAACATCTAATGGACTGCTAGGGTCAAAGGCTTTAACAAATGTGCTGCACTTTTCTGTTGTCAACTGTAATTATTATTTTTAACTGCAATGTGTTAAATGTTTTTAAACTGCATTCCATTCTAATATGAATGGTTTAATTACATTTTATCACTTTGTTTTAGTTGTACTTGCTTCTTAATTCTATTGTATGTTGTGCTGCGTCTCCGTTTTGGAAAGGTAGGATAAAATCAATAAATTAAAGAAACAAACAGATGTAGATCATACATTGCTTATCTAAATTTGCAGCCTTCCAAGAAGGCTAGAGAAATGGACAGTCCACATGGAGACATGCTGGGGGGACCCATACCACTATGACTAAAGAAAACGTATATTTTGCTCCACAAATGGAGAATCATCTATCCAGAAACCTTGGTGAGGGCAATTTTTCATTTCCAGACTATTTTAGGGGCCTGCATACCTGTTTGGGCTCCAGTCATCTTAAATTACTGACTAGCCTTAAAGCGGTCTATGATGGAACCCTTGGCATGTTAATGGGGAAACAAGGTGATTGGCTGCAGAAGGGGGGGAGTGCAGGTGGCCAGCCTATCCAGGAGAACCTGAAGGAGGAAACAAGGTGATTGGCTGTGGAAGGGGGGAGTGTAGGTGGCCAACCTATCCAGGAGAACCTGAAGGAGGAGGGGCCTGGAGAGAGCTGAAAGGTGAGGAGAGTTAGAATATAACTGAGGACAGAGCTTGTGTTTTGGGTAGTTGGGCTGTAACTGGAAAAAGCTGATGCTAAAATCTGTTTTCTTACAAGTTGTTGCTTTGTAATAAAGAAAAAAAATAATTCTCTCATTCCTTAACTGCTTGGCCTAGTATGTTTAATAGCTGGAGTAAAGCCCTTTAAAGGAAGGTTGTTTTAAAGCATGACAAGCCTGGGCTGAGGCTGGTCACATGGTCACTTCCGGTTTTAGAAAATTGGGCTAGAACACCCCAGTTCATCTGCAGCTTCACATTTCTGTTCTACAGCCATGATCAGTTGTGGAGAAAATGACTTTAGGAAAAAGCCCATTATATCCCATTGTTCTGTAGGGTGTGCTGTGATAGTTCCTGGAGGTTTGTAAGCCTGCTCCCCTTCAGCAGTGCTGCAGAACGAGGTGTACCAAGACAATTCATGACATATTCTGTCAAACTTGCTTTAACAAAAATCAGCACAAGGGACTCAGATAGAACCTTACTACAGAACGATTCATTAGCAGTCTTGCCAGTGAGTCTACAGAAGACAAGTGTTATCATGTTATGTTACAGTCAACTTTATTGTTTATAGTATCCTATAAACTAGGGGAGTGGAAGAGCAACAGTGTAACCCCTCTGCTCCAGCAGGCTCCCCACTGCATGCCAGATCTCTCATAAGCTGTGATCTGCTCCAGCAGGCTCCCCACTGCATGCCTGATCTCTCATAAGTTGTGAGATAGGAAGGCTGCTAGAGTCATAACCTTCCTCAAATCATGTTTAGGCAATATATCACTAGCCACTGCATCTCAATACATATTTTTTAAAAGATACATATTTTTAAAAAGCAGTCTACATGGCTCAATTGACTGGAAAAGCAGATGGCATATTTCCTTAAAGACAAGCAAGAAGGGAGGGAGAGAGAGAGGATATGCACACACAAATTCCAAAACAAAATCAAGAAACTTTGTATCAGAAAAAAAAGCTGGCAAAAAAGTAGCATCACGCATAGAACAGCCTACCTGCTAAAGATTAACTATCAAGTCGAACAATAAGCTGAACTGCAGTCAAAATTCTACAATTGTTCACACTTTGCCAACTTGGAGTATATTCAGAACAGAAATAAATGTTAAGGTCCTCACTTTTCACGTCCTTCTCAAAAATGGGGTGGGGTGGGGTGGGGTGTTAAGAAGCTTCTACTGTATCCAGAATAAAAAAAAAGCCTTGGGAGTTAGAGTGGGAAAAATGCACTTTAACAAATACATTGAGAAAACCATCTTAAAATATAAGAATGTTCAAATGGTGAATGGATGCCCAGCATATGAAATGTACTGAAACATTTTTAAAGACTCCATTGTAGAAGTGTGCACATACCTTTTCAATAAAATACAAAGCCCAGTGCCAGTAGTTATGACAAGCAAGCATGTCACTGTCCTGGAATAAACGAAACAGTGATTAAAAAACTAGAATCTTAGCACTATACAACTCAAGAATGGGTCAAATGACCACTAACAGCAGAAAGAGAATGAACCTGAAGTGCAACAAAGCAAGCAAAACAAAACTCTGAAAGTCCTGGGAGTCAATCTAGCCCCCCATATATTTCTGAGTGACCACCCTCTGTCACAGAATACCTTCTCATCCCAAGGTACTATGGTGCAATAGCAATCCTTACAACCATTGCGTAGGACAGGTCAATATTAGGATTTCTCTACTGCTGCTGGAAAACTGAGTTTAATAACACCTGGATTTGGCTCACATAGGAATATCTCATTCTCAATCACTAAAATACCAAAGCAGTGGCAAGTGAGCCAAACACAATTAGGAACAAACACGGCAGACACAGGAGGCCAAAGCTCATTAAAATAAACACACTGTTGTGACGATGGCCAAAGCCTAAGTAGACAGGCTTGGTTTGCTACCCTAGGGTACGGATCTCACAGAGCACATTTCACCACTGAAGACACGCTTTTGCAGGCCTTACTTCAAACTAGCAAACTATTTCAAATGAAAGAAGCAGACTGACAGTGTAGTAGAACTTATACTGAAGAAAGGTCAACAAAGCAGGCCTTTCACTTTGTGAGAAGATAGGCTGTGGCTTCAGGAAAGCTTACCTTCCAGTTGTTTTCTGTTTGCTTCATAAATGCTAGTCCACTCTTTAGATCTGCTTTCATTTCATTCACATGAGCTATGGTGTGCACAGACCATGCATCAGTCTGGTTGATGGCTAAAGCCTAACAAAAAGAATGGGGGGGGAACATGTGCCATTTATTCATTCATTCGTTTAAAATGCTAACACCCCACATGAGATCCCAGTGTAGAATGAAGCAAGTACTGTACATTATTAGGATTGGTTCTGTTCCCAGAAAAGCACTGAAAAGCACAATCTGATCCACTCCAGAAGTTTTTTATTTCAATTCCCAACATTCCTGACTAGTGGCCAGGACTGAGAAAACTCACATCTAGGACATCTATAGAACACCAAACTGGAGGAAGGCTGACACAGCACTTGGCTGGTTATATTACTGGAGGAACACTGTGAGGAAACTGTTCACAATCCAGTAGAAGAACATTGGCAATGGGAGCAATTTCTACAATGTTCCCAGACAGATCCAGTGGGAAGCTATGAGGAAAATAGCTCTGAAACCAGGGTGAGGAGAGTAGACCAAAATGAAAGGAATAATAAGACAAGGTTGAGTGAGATGAGGAAATATGAACAGTGTGTGTGCTGACTGCCTTGGTCCAAAACTGTACCCTCCATTCCTACAAATGTAATTAAGGGCACCTGGGTGATTTCTGAGGACACCAGAAAAGTTTCATCCTTGGAGATGAATTGGTATGAGGATCTAAGTTAACATTACCTCTCTCAAGTTCCACGTGGATTAAATTTTGGTTAAAAATCCCAAATTCAGTACGGTCTTCTTACCTCATAGGCAAGTTTCTCAGCACGATCAAAGAAATTGGTTTCCATTAAACCGAAGGAGTAAATGCCTTTTACATAGCTAAAGAAAAAAGTTGAAACCTTTCAGAATCAAAAAGGGATTAAGGTTAATTAACTAAGCTACTGAATGCTGCCTTGAGAAAAGTTTTTAACCCTCACACAACACAATTTGGTTGGGACACTTCAAAGGCAACTTCCACAAACCATGAAAAGATAATACTGGAGGATAGTCTTGAGCATGGCACCAACAATAAATAAGAAGATTACACCTTTATCAATAGGTTTCTGATGTAGCCCAAGGCAACAATGAGGCTTGCCAATGCATTGAAGTAAACATACCATACACAGTTTTGATGGCAATTAAATAACCATAACTTTATTAGTTACAGTTGAACACACTACACCCAGCATAAGGACATAGATCCTTATGTTGGGTGTAATGCATTCACCACTCAACTGCCTGCCACCTGATGAAGCCTCCCAGCCCAACTACTGAGGAAATAACAAACCAGAGAATGAAAGGTCAATGGTTGTCACCCAGGCACATGATCACTAGGTGGTCTCTGCCATTTGGGGTAAAGGCAACGCCAGCCTGTTCCCAAGCTGGACGAGGTCTTTACTACCTTTACCCCAAGATTCCTTCTGTGGATCTCCAAAGGAAGGGATAGGGGTTCACTGGCCCAATCACCCTCAAGTGGGTAAAGTCAGATGCCCAAAGACCACAGCAAACTTGAGAAGGTTCAAGCAATTGTTCTGATTCTTATATTACCATGTACTCATTCTAAATCGAGGGAAGGGTAGGTAGGCTGAAGCTCCCCCTCAGCTTGAAGTCTAGTTGCGTTTGCAGAGAATTTATGCCCCACGCAGGGTCATAATTGGACCCTATAACTCTCAGGTCCACGCTAGAAGCTCCACCCCCCCCCAGACAGCCTGTGCCCTCCTACTGGCTGGCCTTCAGCATGTGACTCCTGATTCCTCCTGGGAGATGTGAGGACTTTCAGGGCGGCAGTATTGGCAATAACCATTCCTCCTGCCTGCTGTGCCATCACCACACTGCAAAATGGGCACCTGGGCTGGATCTAGGTACCAGTGCTCTATATGGCTGCTAGAAATTATAAGTTACAGAAAGAAATATTGAGGTCAATTGTTTCCAATATGCATCATTATAGAGATCCAATAAATGAGAATGTTGTTTCTGTGCATGAGCACATTTACTATTCTTTAATAAATAGTCAATAATGTAGAGTATGCAATACTGACGGAAAGGTGCTCAGGGTCTAAGTTGTTTCTAACCAGAGCATACTGTGCCATTAAGAGTACCCAGCTGATGCAGGGTGGTGGCGGTGATGTGTAGCCTACATCATTAAATTGTTAACTGTCCAGAGAGTGCCTTATGTGCTATTTGGCTGTGTATAATAAGCATCACACACCCTGCCTCAACACAGAATGTATATACATAATGGGATTGGGAAGTGAAACAGGGTGGGAGATTTCCCCACCCCAAGAAGTTTCCAGGCTGGATAAAGTCAGGAATATTACTGGGCCCTGACATTCAATTCCCCTCCCAGCTGATGCCCTCTGGAGGTCTTGGGGTTGCCAGCCAGATGACCCCACTTCCTTTTTCCCTTTAAGGAAAAAGTGGAAGAGAAGCAATCTTTCACATCATATCCCCAAGAGCCAGTTTAGCACTGAATTAAGAATGAGACAGAGAGTCCCAGCTATCTCCATTCAAGGACAGGAGATAACTTGCAGTGCTTTACCAAACATCTATTACTAACTGTTCATCGGCTGCAACATTTTTATGCTCTAATAATGTTAAGTGGGGGTGGAATCACACTCAAAATAGTGAATGGAAAGGATGTTTTCGTATTTCAATACAATCATTATTAACATTATACTTGTACTACCAGAGTTGTGCAGCACTATACTACTATGGGACTAATAATAACAAAAAGTTATGTTACAGCATTGTATCGTTACACCCGCATCTCCATTTTTCCATGAAACCACAATAAAGGTATGCTGTAATAATGTTATAAATTTTTTTTGCATTACAATGTTAGTTCTACAATGCAATAATACCCAAACATTTTTTCTAAAAAAAGATTTAAAAACATTATAACCAGCAATATTTCAATAATGGACAGAGCGGTTTCTTTAAAAAAAAATTTTAGTTACATCATTGTGGTGCTATATTTCTGTACTCCACTTTTATTACACAATAGTCAAAAGTAATTTTTGCACAATAATCATTTTTAATTCATTTTTTAAAATGAGGTTATGAAACAGCATCAGTCACAAGTATTATAATATGCTGTGCTGAGCTGTGATATGTCCACTTTTCTTATACATCACTGCAGCCTACATCAATCCTTTTCCTACTTTAAAAACATGAAAGGTAGTAACCAAAAGGATTCCCACCAATCTGTGGAGACAGCAGTCTTCTGTTTATGGTAGAAAATTGAAAGGCTCACAGGAATATACAAGAAGGGCCAACATCCTGTTGCTATAAGTTTTGTAGGAAATCAGCCACTGATTTTACTCAAAACACTCATATTTATGTAGTCAAGGTTTGTAACTATATAAAACATCTTTAGAAAAAGAGGAACTGCAAATCAGGCCAAGGATAGCCCAGTGAGAAAGGAACACTGACTGGCTGCTGGGAGCTGGGGAAGGAGAGCAATACAAGGCAGAGTTAGAGATTGTAATGGAGTGGCAGGGTACCCAAAAAGACTGGGTTTTCCCACACAGGTTAACATTTTGTTGGTGACTCTGATTCTTATATTCTCAAAATACAGAAGAGTGGGCTCTTTAGGTAGCCAAAACGTCATGCCAAGATTTGCAGAAGCTTAAAATAAAAGGGAAAAGGAAAAAGACGAGCAAAAGCTTAAACTGATGAATTCGCTACAACAGCCAACGGTGGGCTGGGTGTGATCAGGAGAACAGAAACAACAGGGAGAAAGAGGAAAGAAGCAGAGAAAGTTGCTTGCTGACCGAACATTAAATAAGAGCAGCCTGTGCTATAATGTTTTGCAGCAGACCCTACTTGAATAAGAACATTGGAGAATTCACACAGCTATTCTGAAGGTAATATAATTTAATATGTTTCTGTGTAAACTAGCTGTACAACGTTACATGCTTTTATGACAGACAGCAGGATCAATCAGGAAGTAAGATGCCATCCAGCTCAACATTTCTTAGTTGGTATTTTTTGATTTTAAGGACCTGATAATATAGACAGCAGCAGAAGCAGATCTGTCTTACCTGCTAAGAGGAAGATCTGGAGTCCAGTGAGGATAGACCCGGGCAACTGAGTCTCTCATTGGTATCAGATGTCCCAAGTAAAAATAAACATCATGAGCAAATTTTAGGGCTAATAAGTCAGTTGGATGGTTCTGTAGAATCTGTTCCCATGTATCACAAGCTCCAGGAAGTTGCCTACCAAGAAGAAAACCATACAGGTAAGTGTTCACAAGGGTTTTCAATACCTATTCACTTGGTCAGAATCCACTCCTTTTAAGAAGTTCTTCCACATCACTAAGCAGTGAAGCTTTACTGAACATGGCTAGGTTAATCTACACATACGTATATTAGGTGGGCAAGAGCACTACTATATATTACTTATTGTTAGGAACTTCGATGGGCTTGTTAGCAAACTTGCTGTTATTCATATTATTAATTTTCAACATATTATACTACTTGAGTGTAAATAATGTAATTGAAACCCCAAATGATTTATACTTATTTACACTTACATTCTTTTACATGTATGCCAACAGAATAAGCTTAACTCTGACTTGTACAATCTTACGAACCATGAAGCGAAACATACCTCCATTTTCTCAATCCCATGGAAAAGTCAAAAACAGGAGGGCTAAATTTGTCTCAGTGGCTCACTGGGTACAGGCAAGTGATCCTGGTGGCCACGCTAACTGTGACAGTCTGGGAACAGTTACCCTAGAACACTAACATGTCTAAGATCTGGCTAGATCTTCCTGCAAAGGTGACAGATTATTGACTACCATGGCATACAAACCAAGGGCTTACCCCTTAGCAAAGAGTTCCACTGCAGACACATGCAATTTCTCCCGCTCGGTCAACGGCTGAGATTGTGAGAGGGCCACCATTTTCTTTACTGCTTCATCTAGTTTCCTGTCTAGCCGTACTGAACTCCCCGTACCAATCAAAACCAAGCCATTGGCAATCACATGACCCATTGCTGTAGAGAAACCAAAACATTTTAAAAAGCAAAGGAATGAAGTAAAAGCTTATATATTTAAAAGTTCTTTGACCTTAGAAGCTGGTGGCTGTGATCAGAAAACCTATCTAGCACTCAGGACTGCATCCAAAATATTTAGTATATGAACTCAAGACCACCAGGGCAAGAAAAATTAACCTTCAAAAAAATAACAGCCATTGAAACATAGCCAGTTGGTCAACAGGGCACTATCTATACTTTGACTTCAAGGAAGAAAAGAGTCTCTAATTCTCTGTCTATATGCAAATATAGTCAGCTCTGAAAAAAAAAAGAAACAAATTTGGAAATCATGCAAACAGGTGGTGAATTTGCTTTCTTTTTCCAGATTTTAATTTTCCATATATTATTCCAACAGTACTGTCATGTAAAGCTCATCGCTATAAAACAACAACAAACATCATGGTTTCACCAACAAAACTGAAGACGTGATGGCAAAAAACACTTTTCCCAAAAGATGATCCAGGCATCTCAGGAGCTACATAACAATGCAAACAGGATTCTGGGTCTGTATGTATTCTGAAATTTGAGCTTGCTTCGCTTGGTAATAAATTATCTGCATTTCAGTCCAATCTTCCATCACATTCTGTTCTATCCATATAGGTACTTCTGAACTATTCTGCATACTTCCCTGTAATTTCATATTCTTTATGCTTCTGCCAGTACACCAGCTAAGAAAACATGCTGTGTCTCCCACATTCAAATGGAGCATTTGTGTTTTCTTTGTCAGGACCCTTCTCATGGGCATAGGATGTTCTTAAAGGCAAAGATGACGTTGTACTCCTTTAACACCAAACTCATTTCAGTTTCCCCTGCAATTTTTCTTCCTGCATTTTCAGTCCTACGATTTACTAGTTTTGAATGGGACCAGAAGATGAAGGAACAATGACTATTGGGGAGAATATGATAAAATTAGAGATGGTAGAAATGAATACCCACGACAGAAGGAATCATCAAGTAGCAGAACTCCTTTCGAAGCCAATGCCCTTGTGAAAAAAAGATAGGCTGCAATCCAAGAGCCAATTATCTGGGAATAAGTCCCATTAAATTCAACAAGATTTACTTCTATGTATAAGATTAGGCTGTCAACGTCATTCTGTGTTTGGCCTTGCAAGGGAGTCAAAACTCTCAAGACACATTATTATATCCTGACTATTTATTTTCAGTGATAGCATACCACCACTTTTAAAAACCGTTGATCTTTGCTTCAGAAATGAATGCCTCTGAGATGAATGTAACTAAAATGTAGGACAAATCCCACAAAACTATAAATATCAAGTAGTCTGTCCTTCATCTCAACTTAAATTTGAAACTTCACAAAGTTATTTTCCCCCGTAACTTCAACATCTTGTCCAAGTGTACTTCTGCGTTTCTTAAAACCTGCAAATAATATCACTTGTGGGTCTTAATAAAGCACATGCCTCACTGATTCAAACTGTCCTATTCTATCTTTTTTGTAGAATTTCCTTGGCAAATTCTTCATATGTATGTCACAATGAAGAGCTACAATTTGAGAAGACACACAAGATCTGCAAAAGCACCCATCTTGAACATGAGTTCTGACAGATGTTGTAAACTATTATTCCCATTAGCCCTGACCAGAATAGTTAATGGTCAGGAAGAAAGGCAGTGGTAAACCAAACATCTGGAGGGACATAGAATGGGCAAAATCATTCTGTAAAGGTTCGCTAAGTATCGGGGCAGTTGCGGGAAATAAAAGACCAGGTCTATTTAAAGGTTCAAACTTGTCTTCATTTATTGTAACGGGAACATCAACAGGAATCTCTAACGGGACAGTCTCAATATTCTCTTGAGGCTGTGGCTTTAACGGAGTCCAAACATTTCCAACAAAAGGGTTAGTGTTGTCAAAAGTCCAGGGCCCAGATAAAACCGTCTCTGGGTCTGGAACCTCTTCTTCTTCATTTTCAAACTCTAATAATGGGAGGGTTTCTTTTTCTCTGCTCCAACCCCAAATGGGGGAATCTTCTCCCGGACTGGCCAGCCAAGGTCCGGGTAGACCCCCATCTTCCGCAGCTTGGTGAGATGCCGTGCTCATTTCTTTTCTAACTCTCTCGCCATGGCTTCATGTTACTCCCTCAGTCGCCGCCACCACTCCTTTGCCTCTGTTTCTCCCCAATAAGATGGTCGAGGACGTTGGCCGTGACGCCTCCTGTGTTCAGCCTCCTCATGTGGGACTTTCACCTGCTCCACTTCCCAGTGCATGGGTCTTGCACCCATATCCACTCCCAACCCCCCGGGATCTCTTTCCCCTTTCCTCTTATATCGCCAACTGCCGCCTCAATCTCCTCCCTCTTCTTTCCCGCCGAATCTTTTCTGGGTTTTTTCTCCACCGTTAACTCTTCCAGCGCCTGCACCAGGTCACTGGTATCTACCCTTTTGTTCTCCCACCCCTTTCCTTCGGGTATCCCTTCCAACTCCATGGTATCCACCTGTTTTTCTTCACGTCTAGGCGGGGAGGGAGGAGGGGAAGTCTGGGTGTTCTGAACTCGCGACGGGAGCGACGGCACTCCTATGTAAGCCTCCCGGCTGGGGGTCTCCCTTCCAGCGCCTGCACCAGGTCACTGGTATCTACCCTTTTGTTCTCCCACCCCTTTCCTTCGGGTATCCCTTCCAACTCCATGGTATCCACCTGTTTTTCTTCACGTCTAGGCGGGGAGGGAGGAGGGGAAGTCTGGGTGTTCTGAACTCGCGACGGGAGCGACGGCACTCCTATGTAAGCCTCCCGGCTGGGGGTCTCCCACATGCTACGGCACTCCTACATAAGCCTCCTGGTTGGGGTCTCACACATGCTAATGCAATTGTTTCTATGTCTGTTCAGAGTTGTCCCTTTGGGTTCACTAGAATTCACATCCAGGTAATTAGGACAAACATGAATGGACAAAGTACCACCTTCAGATGTTATTTCACTACAACCCCATCATCCATAGCCCATATATGTATTGGTAACAAATGCTGAGACCTGCAAACCAACATCTGGAGGTGCTCATCCTTAATGTAAAAGATTGACTTTGAACTGTTACTTACCAAAATTAGGATCAGCTGTTTGCAGCTTTGAGAGACATCCTTCAAGGCCTCCTAGACTTTTATCATTTTTCCAAGTAACATACTATAACAACACAAAGAACACTGCTTAGGAATCCAAGAAGAATTAACTGCCTTTAGCGGTCTCACATGACTGAAGTTTATACAATGTGAACAGTGTATTTCATAAAAATAGCATTCTTAGGGCATTTTTTTCCTGACCTCAAAATTGCTAGCTGTCCTTGATTTTGTGAGTCCAGTTACTAGGGCAGATTTGCCTAATTATGATAACAACACAAAGAACACTGCTTAGGAATCCAAGAAGAATTAACTGCCTTTAGCGGTCTCACATGACTGAAGTTTATACAATGTGAACAGTGTATTTCATAAAAATAGCATTCTTAGGGCATTTTTTTCCTGACCTCAAAATTGCTAGCTGTCCTTGATTTTGTGAGTCCAGTTACTAGGGCAGATTTGCCTAATTATGCTGTCTTTTAGCTGTCCTTGATTTTGTGAGTCCAGTTACAGTACTAGGGCAGATTTGCCTAATTATTCTGTCTTTTGTGTTGCATTCATAAGAATATTTGAGGTAGACTGAGAACAAGAACAATTTAGCTACTACTTTTTATGCAATGAAAACAATAACTAAACTGAAATAGAATGTAAACATTAATTCAGAAGCATTAAAAGTACACATTCTAGGGTCACTCAATCACAATACAGTAGTTCAGTAGTTCCCAAATACTTTGGCACTACACTCAATTTTTTAAGGAAACCTTTACACCGCCCCATCTCTCCTTTAACATCATCCAACTCTATTGAAAAAGGAAAAAAATCAACTTGTAATTTAAAACAAAATTAAAACCATAATAATTTTTCCACTAAAAGAAAGTAGAAATAGTTTTTTCTTGAACAACCCTAATTTCTTGCAATAGAAATTTGTCTAAGCTGATAAAAAAATTAATGAAAAATTCAGTCTCCTTTCTTCTTTGGAATTTCTTCACATTCTCTCCATATGGGAAGCAACAATCTAGTTCCTGTGATCAAGAAAAGTATTTGCTATTCAGCTGTTATTGCTTGAAAACAAATAGGACTCTGATGATGGTAGGAAAGGCAGGATCTGCCAGCCTGAAGATATTTTACTATTTATTTATTTTATTTAATTTAAATTCTTATCCTACCCAGCTAGCAGCAAAGGCTACTTCTCTGTATGGCAAATAAATGAACAACAAGACACATCAATAATAGAAGGTACTAAAAGACAGCAAAGGAAAAGGAAAAAGAAAGAAAAAAAGGGGTGAGTTTCAAACTACAGGAATCAGATAAGCATGATCCTAAGAGTGCAATAATCAGAGGAGCCACATAAACTACAAAATAAATAAATAAATCACGGCAGGCAGGCCAAGACAGATACATTACTTAGTTTGGGGCAAACTATAGAAAGACTTGGAAGAACAACCAGGTATTATGTTGCCTCCTAAAACTCAGGAGGGATGGAGCCAGCCACACCTCTGATGGAAGGGAATTCCAGAGTAAAGCAGCAATCATGGTGAATGTCTGGTCACAGGTGGTAGATTTCCAGGCCACCTGGAGCATCCCCATATAAGAGATACAAGTGGGACAGGCATCTGTTTTAAGGGAGAGGCACTTCTTTCATCACCTGTGTTCTATACATATATATGGTAAGAATATGGACACTTCATATACATGCATGTATGTGTGTGTGTGCGCGCACACGCACACGCACACGCGCGCACACACACACACACTCACACACACACACACATACACACATTATCCTTGAAAATAAGGCCTAGTATGATTTTTCAGGATGCCTGTAATATAGGTCCTACCCCAAAAATAAAGCCTAGTTAAGTGAAACCCCGCCCTCCACCATTGTGCAGCAACCAGAAGAAGATGGCATGACTATATTTGAATAAACTTAGATTGTACATGAAAAAAAAATAAAGCATCCCCTGAAAAGAAGCCCTAATGCATTTTCTGGAGCAAAAATTAATATAAGAGGTGAAACATGGTATGTATATGAAAAGGACATCACTCATAGGATCACCATAGGCTGAAAGCAACTAAATGGGACATAATAACAGTTTTTCCAGTACTCTTTTCATTATTCCTACCTGAGTCAGCGCAGCATCATACATTTTACATGCTTCATTACTTGTGGTTGAAAGAACAAGTCCAGCATCCTGCCAAGCCTGTAAAAAACATACAGCACAACATTGCCAGGGGTGGGTATATTCGTACCTATTATGGTTGGATGATAATACAAAAGGGCTTTGTCTTTTACAGATTCCTTGAGATTTTTTAAAAATAAAAAAATACTTTTAACAAAAAAGAAAATGGAAAGGACATAGGGTTTGTCTGACAGTATCGTGTGCCCAGCACCAAGGCAACTGATGAGCTCTCCATCAAATGTTCCTCATGGCTCTTCTACATGTTTCCTCCCAGCTCTCACCCTCTACACAGATCTTGTCCAAGGCTCACTGGACGATGACTATTTTGCCTGGGTCCATAGCAAGTGGTACCAAACTCTGCACTCACCACCCATGGAAACTGCTGAGGAAACTGAATATCCTATCCCAACGGCTAGTTCATAATTGGGACACAGACTGGCTACAACCAATGAAGTTGGAATTTTTAGTTTAGGTTTGTGTCATGTTTTTATACCTTGCCTGTGTAAGAGTATTAGAACAACTTTACAGGAGCATTAAAATTACCATTTAAACAGTCCTAACATTTCACATAGATTTTAATTGTAACCTGGCTAAAATGGGATAATTCTGTTTAGAAATTTTTGTGTGTGTGTGTGTCTTAACATGCCTTTTGTTTTTACAATGTTATTGTTAAGAACACTTTATCCTAGAGATGTAGTCTCTGCTCTTTTGGGCTATAAACTCCTGTGTTTTAAAATGTATGCTCCTACAATTTTGAAACATGATTATAACATGACTTAAGTGTATGCTTATAGCTTAAGTTAAATGTTCCTATATTTTAAGTACAGTGGTGCCTCGCTTTACGATTGCTCCGTTTAACGACGAAACTGCATTACGATGAACTTTTTGCAATTGCTTTTGCGATCGCTTTACGATGTTTCCTATGGGGGAATTTCGCTTTGCGACGATCGGTTCCCTGCTTTGGGAATCGATCCTTGCAAACTGATGATTTTCGGACAGCTGATCAGCGGTTTCAAAATGGCCTCTGGGTAAACAAAATGGTCCCCCACTGTTTTCTAGGATGGATTCCTCGCTGCACAGGCAGCAAAAATGGCTGCCCAATGGAGGATCTTCGCTGGATGGTGAGTTTCCAGCCCATCGGAATGCATTAAACAGGTTTTAATGCATTTCTATGGGCTTTTTAATTTCACTTTACGACATTTTCATTCTATAGCGATTTCGCTGGAACAAATTAATGTCGTAATGCGAGGCACCACTGTAATGTGCCTACAGTGTTACACAACTGAAAGACTTTTGAATTTCCAAGTATGTGCCTACAGTTTTCCTAACAACTGTATGAGTATCTTCAGTATATTTTGAATTTGCTATCTTTGAAATATGGAACCTAGAAGTTAGGCATAAATTAAGGCTTGTAGAATTGGACAAGTCTGGAAATGCCTGAAATAACTGCAACAACAACAACAATACTTACAAAGATACCAAGATCAATTCGCAAAGGCTTTCACGGCCGGGATTTAACGGTTGTTGTGGGTTTTTTGGGCTCTTTGGCTGTGTTCTGAAGGTTGTTCTTCCTAACGTTTCGCCAGTCTCTGTGGCCAGCATCTTCACAGGACAGCACTCTGCACCCAGAACATGACCAAAGAGCCCAAAAAACCCACAACATACCCAGATGAGTTTAGAAATGCTTGTCAGTGATTGTTTTAATTCTGGGATTAATGCTTTACTGGGATAATGTCAGTTATGATGATCCATAGGCTTCTATTCTATCTAGGAGGTCTACAAATCTCTACAGGACTCCTTGAAAAGTCGAGCACCCTTCTAGGGGTTTGACATCTGCATCTTTCATCTACCAAGAATATCTAGAAGATGACATGGTAGCCCTTTCAAGGATAGTCCTTTCCAGTTGCAGCATCAAGGATTCAAGTGCAAGATGTTATCTTGTTTCTATAATGACTTCAAAGAAGGAGCTGACTCTGAGGACATGCCACTCAAGACTCCCTGCTTGTTGTTCCCTTTCACTTCATTCTCAGATTAAATGCTGCAATGGATTTCCCTGATCTCTAATCCATATATGCAGAGAATGTCCTTCTCAGGAAATCCTACTAGCCTTGGAAGATTCACTATCTAAACTTCTGAATTTGTTTCCTTTTGTGGAACACACCCTGAAAGTCACTTTAGTAGAACTGTCACCAGGTCCTATGCTTGGGGAGACTGGCTTTTCCCAGTGAGAGAGAAACTTTGCCCCTTTGTGAGTGAGCAATTTTTAAAGTGGGCGTGAGTTTTATTTCCAGAGATAACTTGGTCTTTCAGCAATCTCAGGAAGCCATGTTCTCTAATGTCTCTCCCTGTTCCTCACACTCTAGGGGGAAACATGTTGTGCATTTAGTAAATGTATATAGAATTTTGGAGAATTACAATATGGGCATGGAGGATTCCAGAGATGCAGGTGAACATCTCCAGTCCAGTCATACTAGCAACTCTGTTCACCAATACAGTACCCTCATAAAGGACCATTTTAGTGCAGCCACTTATGTAAGTCCTTCTATCTTTGTTTGCTATGACAAGGTGGGTAAATTTGTTTTGGCTGAGACATTCTTTGGGTGAAGGATCCAGCAGTTAACATTGTAAAAGACTGTTGACTTGCCTGCTTATGGGACACTGCTTTTTGACATCACTTTCCTGCCTGCTTTGTTCCTTTACTGACTAGCAACTGAAAGCTGGATTTTCCATGAAATGGTAAGGGAGAAAGGAATGGAGTAGGCAAACCCTCCCAACTAAGTCCAAGGCTGGCAGAGAGAAGGGGGGGAAAGGGGAAATGCAATTCATGCTTGTATGCATTGCTGACTCTGGTGCTCATACAGCTGGTCCCCCTATCCTCACTTCTCAACAGCCTTGCTGCTGAGGGCTGACGTGGGTCCTAACAATCACACTTCTTTTGTCTTCACTAGCAAGAACATCCAAAGCTATAAACAAGAAACAAGTTTTATCTTGCAACTGTTTACAAAAGCATTGAAAGGCGTTCCTCCCATTATGCTGAAAGTCGCTGCTTACTGCACCTTCTTGAAACTCTAATCAACTGTGTGTGTGCAATGAACTTTGTCCATTTTACTGTTCTCAACAAACTTTGTCCATTTTATTCTCCTCAGCCTAATTCACCTTGGAGGAGATGTGAATGTTCTCATAAATGTTGTTTCACAGTGTACATACAAGTTTTCTTCTACTTGTATTAGGTACTTTAAAAATGCAACAAATCGGAAAGATCAACTACTGTACACTGTATGGTCAGGATCTCCTGATGCAATCCCATCCCGCTCACTGCTTTAAAGATCAGTGATATAACAGTGAGGAAGGGGGTATTTATTCACTGCATCCCATATTCTCAACTCTAACACACTCTTCCAGCAAATCTGGCACATATGATTTCCCTGCCAATAGTTAACAAACAGCAGTGTTTTGAAGAAGAGATTTCTTATTGATATTATGTGCCATCAAGCTGCTTCTTGCTTATGGAGACCCTATCAATGTCTGACCCCCAAAAAGTTTCTGTTGTTTTTGGCCCTGCTCAACTCTTGCAGACTCAAGTCCATAGCTTCCTTTATCAATCCATCTTATATTCAGACTTCTTTTCATGCTGCTTTTAACTCTTCCCACCCTTACTAAATTTTTCTGTGACTTCTTGAAGGCTTTCACGGGTGGGATCCAATCATTGTTGTAGGTTTTTCACAGCATCCACACCAGAATCAAAGAACATTCCTGAAACCACATGTAACCAATAAACCTGTTTCTGTTAAAAAGTTCAGTACTGAATGGACCTTAGTCTTTCATAAGAAATATGAGTTGATAAAGAGATCAACTGATGGCAGCATGTCAAGGGGCGTGTTGCGATACCTTCGGGAGCTCTGTGTTTGGTGAAACAAGCAGGGGCCACAGGGTAAACGTCACAATTGGTGTCCAGCGGTGAGATACAAAATAATCCAGTAAAGTCAATGTTTAAAAGTGAGTTTTCTGAAGTCATGAGTACCTTTTAGTCAGAGGTATGTGGTGAAGAAGTGGGTGAACTGCTAGCGCTTTTGTGGAAAAGACGATACCTTCGGGAGCTCTGTGTTTGGTGAAACAAGCAGGGGCCACAGGGTAAACGTCACAATTGGTGTCCAGCGGTGAGATACAAAATAATCCAGTAAAGTCAATGTTTAAAAGTGAGTTTTCTGAAGTCATGAGTACCTTTTAGTCAGAGGTATGTGGTGAAGAAGTGGGTGAACTGCTAGCGCTTTTGTGGAAAAGATTAGTGGCGGGGCTTCTAAACCCAGATCTGGGGGAACTAAATACAGTGGTGCCTCGCTTAACGATCGCCTCGTTTAGCGATGAATTCGCATAACGATGTGTTTTTAAAGAAAATAATATGCATCGCATAACGATGTTTCCTATGGGCGATTTTCGCTTAGCGAAGTTTGGGACCATGCTTCGCATAACGAATGCGATTTTAGGTCCCCTGCTTCACTTAACGATGTTTTTTTTCAATTAAAAAAGTGTCTTAGAAGGGTCAAAAATGGTTCTAAATGCTTGGATT